GCTGGAATGCAAAAGGAAGTGATTTTTCAAGGATAAGGCAGGGGGAATGGGGAACACATACAACATGCTATTTCTGTACTTCTTCCCAAACCATGGCATACTCATAATCTCAGCCAACTCTTTATGATTTGCTCTGTATGAATTGCTATTTTCTTGAAGGGATAGAAAAGCACCTTTGTGACCAACCTGCAACAGGAGAACCAGAACCTCAACGTACCTCCAGGTATTCATCAGACATCTTTCTTCTTCTCACTAAGATATACCGGTCATCATCTTCCTCTTCTGGTAAAGGAGTAGGAGGGCCTTCAATCAAGGACCTGGATCTTGTATGAGGCCGAGAACTTCGGTCTGGGTTCCTCCTCAAGGCACTTCTGGGTAACATATGTCTTGGAAGTCGCTTTGGTCCCTGGTAAAGTTTAAAAGCCCCTAATGAAGCAGGAGAAAACCCAGACAGCTCCTATCCCTACTATGAACTCCTCCCCCAAATGATATGGCTTCCTTCTCTCCTTCCCAAAGATGAAGTACCCCTGCCATCCCAAATCAGAAAACACAAGGTAAAAACATTCTAGGCAAATTCATCTTTGGTATTCTGCTACCTGCAAAGAAATAGTCAAAAGCAAGTTCGTGTCCATGCAGGCATAAGATACAGTAATTCCCCCATGCAGCAGCAGAACCCATGCCTATGAGGGGTTGCAACTTTTACTACTGTTCCCATCTTCACACAGCTTACAGGTAAATTAGCAGTGAAATTCACTACACTGCCAATTCATAACCCAGCCTTCTTTAAGGACCTAGTTAGGCCAAACGTCAGGGTTTTTTTTCAAGGCTCCAAACTTGTAGAACATTCAGGCTTGATCTTCAAAGTCTGAGCTGCCCCCCTTACCTCCAGCCTTTGCATAAATACATATTTACACAGCACCTTGTTTAGTTTTATTGGCCTGTGGAGACACCTAACCTTTAGGAATTAATCTGTTCTGCTTTATACAGTGGCAAGTCAAAAGAGAACTGGCACAATGAGGATGCATGTTCTAAGAAGCAATAAAATTCTGACCTGGACTTTGATTTAGATCGTTTATTAAGTGCTTTAATTAAAAAGAGTCCTGTTTTGTAACATCATAATTTGACTCTCAGAAATCTCAAGGCAATATACTAAGTTTATACTTACATGACTGACAGCTGGCAATGATTTTCTCCCACCAAAGATACCAGAAACATTTTGTAACTCAGCCATTAGTTTTGCAAGCTAACAAGGGAAAGAAAAAGGAAGCAGAGCCTTAAAAGGGTGTTTATGTGCTATTATAGATTATTAGATTAGGGTAATTGGCTAGAAGTACAACTACTTATAGGAAATGCAGTGACTCTTCAACTTTTTACTTTTATGTCTTATTTATGTTCTAGTGACAGCAAGTCATTTGAAAATGCTCAAACTTATGTCAAACCCCTATTCTTTAGGCTTGCAGCCTATGGATTTTTACTGAAATACTTAGCTTATCGACCTTCACATGCCAGTGGACATAAAGTATCAGATTTAAGTATTAGGAATGTAAATTCCTCTTAATGCATTCACATAATTCCTATTGAGAGTTAATTTGAACAACCAAAGAGGTCCCCTAAGAGCCGGGGGAGGAGGGGGGAGAAGGAAGGGGGGCCCCCAGAGAGACACTGAGTACTTGCCATTGCTTTATTTTCCTTTATGTTCAAAGCTCTTTTTTCTAAAAACATGGCACCCTTTTCTTCAGAGTCAGAGTCTGAATCTGGAGCAGGCATCAGCTTTTCAGGAAGAGGTTCCATCTCGCCCTTCCTCCTCTCTGATCTTCGAGGTGGAAATTTCATGGCTACTTTTAGAGGAATAGGGCATTTCCGCCTTCTCTGAGCTACCTCACTTTCAGCACTTGTATCATTCTCCTCTGAATCTGATTCCAGTTTCTGTTAACAAAACCGAATGGAAGCATATAAATCCAAGTGAGTTGCTCTGCAATTAATACAGTTCAGCAATATTTTGTTTGGGGGTGGTTAAAGAGGCTGTCTGTCTGAAATCTAGACATTTAAATCTCCAGTCCTAGTGCTCTAGCATATTTGGGGAGAAGGGTGTGGGTATAAAAAAAAATCTTGGGGAGAGTCACACGTACTGCTGCAATACATCAGAAAAAGGAGCCTGGTTTCAGTTGCAGCAGTCTTAGCTGTCATTTGCAGGTCTAAGAGAAGACTGTGTGTGTGAGAAAGAGAAATGCATTTACGGGGTTTGATTTTGCAACATATTCTGTGTTCGCAGCACAGGGTCAAACCCAAGTTCATAAACTGTCAAGAACAGTAATCTCACAGTAGCAACAGTATCAAGTGAAAACTTACTTCTAGAGCCAGTCAATGAAGTAATTACAAATAAAATCCCAATATTTTCTTGTCTTTGAACTCTTACATATGTATTCCAGCTTTGTTTCCTACTTATTCTCTTTACTGTTGCATATTATTTAACTCAAGACACATCCTCTTCCAATCAGACGTTATTCTTTTATAGTCACAAATCTATTTTACGACAAACATGGTATTACTTCTGTCTTCTCTACTAAATACCAACTGTTGGTCTTTTTAAGCAATAGGACTGCTCTTGCGCTGATGTCAAGGAAAAGCAGGAAGGTGGATTTCACCAATCACTATTTCTCTACTGCTAAAGTAGTACAACATTTCCTGTTAATACTGTCAGAGTGCAGGTCTGACTGCATGTCAATATACACAGAAATTTTTCTCAGGTTTGCTGGAGTCCGTGGGCTAGCATAACATTTCATACTGAGGAAAACAGAAATGTTAGACTCTAACAGAGTAACAACCAACAAGGACAGTTTTAAGAGGTATTATATTTCAAAATCCATATAGCAGATTTTATTCTAAACTTGCAAAGTTCAGGAGCTTGGAGGTTTTTTACAGAACAAAAGGATGGCTACTTCGAGTGTACATTAAATTAAATAAAATTATGCTTCCTTCTGAAAACATTTGACTTTCAAGCTGAAGCTGCCTTTATTTCTCAATTAAGAACGTGTAAGAATTTAAACTTAGAATTGCAAACTAAAATCAACTGTCTTACCAATGCATCTTGAATCTCATTTTCTGAAAAGCCACAGAAGGATTCATCATCAGAGGCTTCGTGAAAAATTTTTGCCAGTTCTTCTCTAATATCCGACCTAAACTTGCATTTCTATGAAGAAGAAAATATCCTTTAACTGAAGTTGTACAGAAAATTATTCACATTTACAAGTGCAGTGTAAGCAAATAGCTTTTTTAATAAAGAAAAAAAAAAACCAAGGCATTTAACAAGGGGTTTCAGAACCACAGTTGCAAGTTATCAGGCATATTAGGTTAGGTGACATTTCAAAGACTAGAATAAATAACTAAACCATTTCCAACAGTTACCACCTATATGCACAAGAGTGAAATGAAATGACAGCATATAGCATAGACTTGTAACTACTACAGAAAAACATAAGCAGAGCAAGCAGTTTTAATTGTACACAAAACATTTACTAGCTTTACATTTTTGCAAGCTTTACTAGCACTGCACATTCAGTTTTACTTGTTCTTGTACTGTACTTACCGTGTTCGCAAAATTATCAGAACCAAAACTGTCACAACTGTCATCAGAGGATGAGGATGTTTCCATGGGAATCAGTTTCGTATTTCGGAATGCTGTGAAGCTTTTCCTTCCTGAACAACCTCGGCGCTGCAAAAGGACAACGGCAACACTTAATAAAAGCGACCTACTGTAGCATTCTAGCTTTCAAGAACATCCTTAAGTTTAGAAGGTTTGAATGATTTATAACATTTAATGGTCTCGAATGCAAGTCAGCAAAATTACCATGAGCTTTGCAATAATTCACGAAGTTAGAAATGGGAATAGTTTCTTCTCTGATACGTTTCTGATCATTGTTATAGATGAGTTTTGTCCAGTACTTCGAAATACTTCTTTTATGCAAACAGCCAAGTGGCAATATACACAAAAATCATATCCTTCCCACTCATTATTGACAATGCTGGAAAAAAGTGCAAGTACACAAATAGTACCTAGAAATCTGCTTTGATTTATTAATTACTTTTAGTTTGAGGCAAACACTAAATACACTGCAGCTGTTAAGGAAGGGACTAAGTATGATATCCACAGAAAAGAGGAGCTTTCAAACAGCTCTTCCAGAGACAACAGTTTGCTCTTATAATTTTATTACCAGGTTTAAATACCCTTTTTGACGGGCTTCAGGTTTCCATTTCCCAGGGAAAGTTTTTACTAGTAATGACCCACTGTACCTCCCCAGGGTGGCAGCGACCCGAAGGTCAAGCCTGCTGCACCCACACTTAGATGCTGCCCAAGTCGAGCCCTCTAACCGTTACCAGTTCACAGGTCCAGCCCACTGGGCCAAGCATTTTATAAATACGGTTTAAACAGTAACTAGCTACGGCAATTTATGGACCTCCGTCCTCTCCCCAGCACCGTTCCGCAGGCTGCTTTTCGCTGGAGCGGCACCGCAGCACCCCTGAGGCTTGCCCACACGCTTCACGGTTTGGCAGGTGCTGACAGAACAGAAAAGTTGCCCGGCCCGGCCCGGCCCCAGACACAAA